TAGATTCAGACTCAGATTCGGATTCTACCACTAATACATCATCTAGTGACAGTTCTGACTCTGATACAAGTTCAGAGGATTCTTCTGATTCTGAAGGTGATATCACCGTTAACATGGCTAAGTTAAAAAAAAGTGAAGCAAAACTCTAGCTCCAAAAAATCATCTCTTAAAAAGATGTCTAAAACTTCATTAGAGGAAACTATTCGTAAAATCCTCCAAAGTGAATTTAAACTAATTTTTCCTGCAATATTCTCCCCAAATGCTAATTCTGATTCTAGTCCCGTTGTGTCCGAACAAATACAGGAAAAGATAAATAACACCTCTCCAGGTTCCAAAGATTCAACTCCGGATGAGTCTAGTCTAGAGGAGGAAGAGTGTTTGGATGATCCAATAGAAATTGATTTCATCCAAAAAAAGGAGCCGAAAACAAGCGTCGCGACTATGAAGTGTAAAATTAAGCATTTGAAGATTCCTGCTATGACTCTCGATTCTGGAGCAGAGCCTCCTATAGTAACCGAAAATATTGTTGATCGTGTAAAGGCTAAAATTGATAAGTCCGAAACACACGATCTTAGTGGTATCGCCACTGTTCCGATTGAATCCATTGGAGTGGTTCGCAATTTATCTATTACTCTAGCTCCTGGACTTACCATTTATAAAGATTTTGTTGTTGTGAGATATAACAAGCCAACTTTAATATTTTCTAACCAACTTTTAAAGAAATACAATTGTGCTGTGGATTGGGGTAAAAATGAATTAAAATTCCCTCATAATAGAAAGGATTATATCATTCCAGTAACCATGTATAAAGTCAAGAATAAGCTTGAGGTAAATTGCACGAACATTACTTCTAAATATGAAAAGTCTGTCCCTTTAGAGTCTATTTCGCAAGACTCACAAAACTTAAGTGAGAATGATAATATATTAAAAAAAAATCTATGAACTATGAGAAGCTTGAAAAAATGCTATATATCACTCTCAAGTATAACGCAGAAATCAATAAATATTGCGAAAGACTACAGACATGCTATGATAAACTTCTTGCCAAAGGTTGGTAGAGGAATAGGTGAGTTATACTCTTCATATTCACTGTTTTTTTCAACTATCTTCTCATATGACGTGCATAATTCCTCTTTGTTTATATCTGAGCTTTCTAAATTCATAGAGAATAGTTGAATCGGTCCTAAAGAAGGCATCTGAGTAACGGGTAGTTCAGAAATACAAATGAACTTGGATTTGAATTTTTCTTTCGGCTTAGTCCCTCCAGTCTTTTTTTTCTTGCTATCAGTCTCGCTGGGGCTAGATGCCTTTGGAAGCATATCAGCTAATACATATTCACCACTCTGTTGCAAACGTTCATTATTATTCCATATATCAAAGACGTGATTTTTATTGATATAGTAGTCTCTTACTATCATATATGCGGGAACCTTATTTTTAAGGCATCTGATTTCTTCGACCTGCTCCGGTGTTAAAACACTAGCACCTCGTCGATAATGAGTTTTTAAAAATTGGGTAGGCATTAATCCTCCAGTATTTTTAGCAATATTTTAGAACGATAAAAAATAATAAAAAACATTATTTATTGTTTTAAGATGACAAAAAACGATAAAAAACATTATTTATTGTTTTAGAATAGTAAAGAATGATAAAAAGCGATATTTATTATTGGAGAACGTTTGTTATTATATGGGCTAAGTGCTGGAAAAAGGGACCAAATTGACAATTTTTTCAAAAGCTATTTTTTTATATAAATTGATTTAGAATAAGATTAGAATCGTTTCTTATTTAAGACACAAAAGTAGTTGTATTAATAAAATTTTGCTATATTGCTTTTTAAAGTTTGCATTTTCTTAT